CTTGGATCACAACAACTGAAGGGAATTCTATTACCTTCTCTTTGGTGACTGTCTTTCAATTTCCAATCGTTGTGACCGTTGACACCACAGCATTGCAATGAGTTCTGAAGCAAATCGATCTCTCTTTTCATATTTAAGTTTTTTGAATACATATTAAACGCTGATTTGAAATTTTCAGGCATAGCGGCGTTTAAATGTGTCATTTCTTGGTCTAACAGATACGTTACAATTATACTGAAAGCGCTTAAAATCGCTGATAAATAGTAGAAATATTTAAAACATCGGGTGAGAAGAAGCAGTTCCACGCTCTCATCTTCTTCTTCGAGAGCTCTTTGTGTGTTAAAGTAATGCCAAATAAAGAGATTCGAGAAAATTAATGATAGACTACTAATTGAGAGGTAAAGCGGAACTTTCCATATCTTAATGTTTTCTTCGATAATATCTGAAATGGATTTAAACCGAATGTATGAATAGAAAGCCAGTGCTAACTGTCCGACGCTTAACAGAATCAATAATATGGCAATAAATGAGACAATATATGAACAAATGATACGATCACTTGAAATCATCTCATACTCCCATTTAGTTCGCATCCACTTCTTGTTCACCTTTTTGTTTTCATTTCGTTTTGAATAATAATCACTCATTTCTACTGTTATTCTTATAATATTATTTTGTACATAAAATCACTGAATATTTGTAAAAACTTTGTTTTATTTTAATACAAACATAAATACAACTGAATTTAATAATAAAAAATATTTGAATTAAAAATTTTATAAAACAATTTCTCGAGAAAACAATTGAATGAAGTGTTTGGACATTAAGTTTCTGTAGTTGAGGCCAAACGACTCCTTCCGGACAACTCATACATACTCTTCTTTTTGGATGCATTCGATGCGTCTCTCGTTTCCATTGCTGTCGAGTAAATCATTTCGTTGAAGAGATCCACATAAATGTCTGGTATCTCTTTGTTTTCGTCTTTGATTGTTATACTCGTCATCTTAACGGAAGTTTTTCCTAAAATTTTTCTCTCAAATTCTATGAGTGATTTGAAGAAACCGACGTTTGGTTGACACAACTTCCGACACTTTCTACAGTGAATGAACGCCTCTTTTAAAGTCATTTTCTGATATTTCACTAAATAAGCTGTCATTTGGTTTGAATGGAGTTATAAATGCAAATACAACTGATTAAAGGGCTATTAATAAACAAATGGTTTTATAAAATATACCCAAAACCAGAGAAGAAGAGCGACTGATTCCGGCCACACAATGGACTATAGCTCTCCGATTTTTAGACACCACTTCATTCAGTTTGTCCGCCACTTCTTCCAAATAGAGAGAAATGTCGTCATCGACCGTATCGTCGATCTACACATAACACACATGTATTTTTAATTTAATAAAAACAATTAATGTAATTATAAGAGTATATATACGGGAACTCTAATGCATTCGAGGTCTTTAATGTCTACGTTGGGCGCCTCATACGTGGCGTTAATAATGAATGAGATCCTGAGGCCCACTATATTCTCGCGTATTATACCTCCAACGCCCGTCAAATACACATTGTCTGTGATCTTATCGACCGCATCAAAG